CCCATGATAGTTACTTTATATGTTAACTGGGCTAGGCTATGGTGCCCAGTTGTGTGGTCAAACACTAGTCTAGATGTTGCTGTGAAGGTATTTTGTAGATGGGATTAACATGTACAATCGGTTGACTCTAAGTAAAGATTATCCTTGATAATGTGACTGGTCCTCATCCAATCAGTTGAAGGTCTTAGCAAAAATAAGGAAGTTTCCCAGAAAGAAGGAATTCTTTCTCAAAACTGTAACATATATATTCTGCTGGAGTTTCTAGTCTGCCTCCTGTCCTATGGGTTTTGGACTTGCTAGCTCCTATAATCACGAAAACCAATGCCTTAAAGTAAATCTCATTTTCTCCCTCTCTACATATATCCTATTGAATCTATTTCTCTAGACAACCCCTGGCCTCCCCAAAACCTGAAAGAGAAAAGTGCGTGCTAACAAGGCTTAAGAATGTAAGCAAGCATGGGCTCTGCTGGTCTCTACATATTAGCCTTCTTTTAATATTGTATGTTAATGTTAAAACCATAAAGGTTTTAAATGCCCAACACACACGTATCTCTGTACCTTGAAACTAATTAGAATTGTTTGTAATTTCCCGAGCATCAGCAGCATTTCAGGAGCATCTGGGGAAGAGGAACTATGGTAGGGACGTGAGATCACCTCTAAGTTGAGCTTTGTATTTTTCAGAGAAGAAAAAAAATGCCTCTTTCTAGAGCTAACGGAGGTGTAACATCTGTCCAATTGGTTTCTTTGTATTGTGCATCACAGGGATGCCTAGCTGGAATTGCCTAACTTTTCTACAAGTTCCAGTTTGAGGTGGGAAACCACAAGGCTATATAAGTAAATTTGGCAGGGAAGATAACAACAAAATTTAAAAACACAAAGTGACCCCCAGCCCAAGTCACAGGTGAGTAATGGTGCTAGCATCATTACTTACTGTCCTCTGGCAGGTTGTTGTCCCGCTCTTCTCGCTCCATCTGCTGGCACCACCCTTCCATGCGGTCTCGCTCTGCCTGAAGAAGCTTCAGAAACCAGTGGCCATCTCGGTGACACACTGACCTTTGAACGGCCTCCAGAGGGTCTTCAGTGATAGAGTCAATCCAAGGGTCCGGGGGAGGCAGAATAGACGGGTCAAAATCTGTGTCAAAGTCATCGTCCACTGCACAGGCGTGGTAGTGGTTTCCTGAGCCCTGAATGCTAACTGTTGAGGTGCTGGCATCCCGGGAAAACTGTCTGGCCATTGGGTTGGGACATGAATTGTCCTCTATAGATTCCAGGGAATTTTCCAGATTATCATGGAAGTCCAGGTCAGCCTGCACTGCTGTGGTCACACTGTTGGATCGAGTGAACCTGCGGAAGCTTGGGAGAACAGAGAAAGGAGATTTAGTTTAGGGATACTTCTTAAAGCAAAACTACATTCTTTGTGTCTTGGGTGTAACCACAAGTGGTCTCATCTCCTCAGTATGCTGGAGGTAGGCCCTTGATGACACATATTGATCACCATAGCTCTAATACAAAGAACAAAAATCTTTCTTTGTTCAATATGGAGAATATGCAAGCGTGTCTAGAGAAATGTTAGCAGTAGAACGAAGTGTACAGTTATCAAAGCCAGCATACATAATGTCCAATGTCCAACTTCCTCCTGAAATCTGAGGTGGCTTGAATCCTAATATTCAAAATGATAATGGGTAAGGAAGTAATCAAATTTTATCTTAGTCTGTTTAATTTGCCTAGAAATGGACAAAAAAAACAAACAAACCCAAAACCAAAAAACAACCCAAGCATAAACACATTTTCCTAAGGGCAGCTCTTATCAGATAAGACTTCCTAAAAGCAAACTTAAGTTTCATCAGGTTTCTCCTAAAATTACAACTCCTTTCCCTGGAAAGGGTTCACCTGTTTTTTGATCATATAGATCATCATCGTAATATGGTACAAAAGCCTTTGGGGCAAAAATCAGCTCAGAGATCTAGAGTTCTTGAATACTGTACTCCCCTGCCTTTAATTTTCCTCCTCATAGTCCTGCTACCGAGGTGATAAAAGACAACTTGTTAACAGGTTCAATCTGAGCTTGTTGTACGTGGATACTGACGAGATCAGTATTGCTCAACCAAATGGTCTGATGCATTCTGGCTGATCCTTATAAGGAAGGTGGGTGGGATGGGGAAGAACAGAGGAGCAGTAAATTCTTTCTCAGAAAAGGGTCAAGGGAAAGTGTGAGCCTAAGGTGAATTAAAAAAAAATGAAAAACTAAAAGCTTCCCTGGTCCCTGGGGCAGGCAGAAAAATGACAGAGAACTGAAGTCCACTGCAGGCAGCAGCCACGTTGAGTTACCTTGCTGTGCATATCTTGCAGAGCTGGACACACTTTCGTGCTCCCAGATCTCACCGAGAAGCCAAAATAACAGAGGCAGCCTTCACCTGCCTTCTTCTTGCCAGAGAGCTTTTTTCCCTACTAACTGTCCCGTGTTACAGGATAGAAGCTGCAGGTTAAAACTGACAAGCTGGAATTATAGGGAGAAAGAGGGCAGATGCTTAGATATTTTTTCTGCCTTAACTTGATGGCAGGAGGCATTGTGGAAGGTAACTTTTCATTTCCTCTCTGGTCTGTTAATCTTACTTTCCTTTCTTCAGGATGTCACCTTCATAGCTCCATGAGCACCCCATGAGAAAACCTGAGTGTCCTCTTCCTTCTCTTCTGTCTGTCCCTATCCTATCCATTTACTCATTAACCAATCCACCACCCCACCCACCATCCATCCATCCATCCATCCATCCATCCATCCATCCATCCATCCATCCATCCATCCATCCATCCTCCCTAACCAGCTGAAATTCCACCTCCCAGTGGAACCTTTCCCAACCCTTCAGCAAAAAAGTCATTTGTTCCTCTAAGTGCTTAGTATTCACATTCATCTACCAAGGGGGTAAATTTCATTTTCCTGACTATCTCATGATTTACCAATTTAACATGGTTCATTTGCCAGTTGATATTTCAATTAATGTCTCATATTAAATAGTGCCAGCCTTAAAGGATAGCACACTAAACAATGTCCATACAACATTTAATATACCAGATTCTATGTCTTTTTCTTAAGTATCCTGGATCACTCTATTAAAGTCAATTAAAAGTAATACTCTGGTCCATCAAAAACAAAGAATAGTCGGAATAATACAGGCAAGTAGTTATTTGCTAGATGGCAGATAGACTGGGAGTAACAAAAAGGAGAAAGTACAATTATCTCAATAAACCCACTTTTTTCCCCCAGGGGAGAAATATCAGAAGAAAAGTGGCTAGAGTATTGATCTGCGTCAGTTATTAAAACAAATTAAAAAACCCATTGCTATTGAGTCGATTTTGATTCATGGTGACCCCATGTGTGCAGAGTAAAACTGCTCTCCGTAGGGTTTTCATGGCTGTGATTTTTTGCAAGCACATTATTAGTCCTTTCTTCCAAGGTGCCTCTGGGTAGGACTGAACCACCAACCTTTCAGGTAGTGGTCAAGCGCTTAACTGAATGCACCACTCAAGGACTCAAGTGTCTTTGTTATTAGGTTAGTCAAAATGATCAAACAGGTTGTGATTCTGGCCATTCACTTTATGAAGACAGACTGGCCAAACTGGCCCACCTTACTGTTTGCTGCTTTTAAAAAATCATTTCGGTTGAAGGCATTGTATCTAGTCACTGCGGTAAGTTCCTTAACTCTCAGATGGGTCTCCTCCCCCCAAATAAATCATGTAGTGTGTGAGTCTGAAAGCAACGTTACAGGTCTCTTACATGCACAATGAAAGGAAGAACGATTTTGCTGAAGAGGTTTCTCAAACAGCCACTAATTTCTTGGCTGCCGTAGGCTGTTTCTGCCTTCTTCTTGTTTATCCCCCAAATGTTAAATGTCATCTCCTGAAGCCAAGCTTTCTCTCCAGCTGAATCTGTGTGGATTGGGTGGCTCGCCTTTGCAACAGTTGACATTCTGGCTGTTCTACTGACACGAAATCCCAACTATAAAAACATGAAGGGCCACTTTCCAAGACTGTGTACTGCCAGAGGCATTACATTTCAAAACTTAGAGGAGTACTCAGTGCTTATTGTTTTCTACTGGAGCAAACTTGCCAAAGACAGAGTCTGCTCCACATATAAAACAGAATGACCTGCTTTCCTGGGCTTCTGTTTTATCTACACAAAACCGTGCGGCCAACATTCCTGTTAGGCGGCTCCTGGCTATGGATCTTGTAAATGTATCCACCTTCTTAAGAAAAATTACTTGGCAGTAGATTAATAGAAGTTTGTGGTTTAGTCACCCAGAAAGAAATAAAAGTTAAGCAAAATTAAAATGGTTTGGGATTAAAAGCGGTGCCTTTGAACTCAGGCAACCCTGTCCAAGCTGCCGTGTTTCTATCAATTAAGTTCCTTAAGCAAGTGCTTTCTTCCCCCAGAGCTTTCAAAGAATGTTCTGCTCTACAAAACATTTTATGTCTTTCATGTGATAAGTTCCTTCTGGGTGAAGGGTGCAATCAGGTTGTTACTGCTGTTTTAAAATGTTGATAAGAACACAGAAGGGGCCACTAGATAAATTTCTGTATTTAAAAAATATATATATCCCTTGATGGTTGATAGTATAAACTGAAAATCTAGTCCCAGTGGCTTGCTGTTCCTGAACCAGTTTCCAGTCTGGAAGCTTCTTTGTCCCTTCATACCCTACAGGCACAGTGTGTAATGATTACAACTTCTGAAAAGCAGCAGCCAATACTCTGGCCTAAGGAAGAGAAAACCATGAAACCAAAGACTGGATGGACCAGTACAGAACACAATACCCGATCTGTTCTAAACAGCCAGTGTGAAGTCACTTGCTAGCATTTCCCTCTGCTGTTGCTTTGTGTTCCTTCTATGAAACAAGTTTCTATTTCTAATTAGAGGATTTTCTACCTCTCTTTCCCACTTTTCTGTACAGCAGATTACAAATCCACACATAGGTAGTAAATTGCAGACAGCTCAATTCCCATCCCTCCTGTCACCTCTGAGGCTTCCTGCCCTGCTCTGGTCTACAGAAGTGACAGAGTTCTGTTAAACACAATGAGTCATGGACACAACCTAAGCCCAGCCAGTGTCCTTGTAACATACATGTTTTGGACCTGCAAATCTCCACTATGTGAGACTCCAGTCATAAATGTGTTTCAGGGAGCCTGATTCAGCAATCAGTTGCAGAATGCTCTCGTCTCTAGTTTCAGTCTTTATCCCTCTCATTCTCTTTTCAGGGCTAAATCTAATTTCAAAACGGGCAACAGTAGTCCCATGCTGTTCTTTCTTTACTGGAGTCTTTAGACATTTTCCATTAAATCTCTGTCAAGGTTGAATACATGTGGGATCTGCAAATGCTACCCTTCAAAAGTGCAACCATCTTGGCATTTTGTGAAATGGCACTCTTTAACTGATGTAAAACCAAAGATGTCTCACTATATAAAATAAAAGATAGGTCAAAGGAAAGGCATGGGGGATCCTGAGATCAAGAATAAAATTGTCCTAAAAAAAGAGGTTGACTCTTTCTTGTCAGATCAGCTTCCAAATTAGAATAGTACATGGAGAAACCTAACCCTTATCTACAGTTCAGTTGGAAGGAACTCTCCTGTTCCCCATTTGCACGTGGTTAGCATTGTCCCATTAACAGATTTTAAAACTATCTAAAAACAAGCATTCATTTGTTATTTTAAATCCTCCATGTTCATCTTTGTTTTGTTTGGAGATGTCATTCAGCAAAGGAAAACAGAACAGATTTTTCACATGAAGTTTCTCTCTGCTCTACATAATCGTAATGCGTGTGTCAAATAAAAGAAAGCGAGGAGATGGAAAACAAGGGCAGTGGGCTTGCTGTCTTCTGAGAGCTTCTGAGAGAGCCTCGAGGGGCTGTTCCTTACAGGAACCTTGGCTGGGAGTCTCCACAAAATATCCTTGAACTGAAAGTGCTCCAGAAGGAACTGCTTTACCTCAGCAACTTGAGTTTTAGGTCACACTCCTTGGCTACTGACATGAGGTAACTAACAAAAACCTGAGAGGTCTCCCTAACAATTTTTTTTTTTTTTTTTTAACTGAGTCTCATTTTTGGTCAAATGGAGGCCATAAATTTTCAGATTTGTGAATCAGGTGGTCGATTTTCTTACTGCAAACTAAATTTACTTGAAAAACATAAAAATGTGGAAAAGAAGGAAGGAAGAAGGGAAGTGAAGGGCAAGGAAAAAAGGAAGGAAGGGGAAGGGAAAGAAAAGGAAAAGAGGGAAGGAAGGTAGGGAAAAAGGAAGGAAGGGAGAGAGAGAGAGAAAAAGGAAAGAAAGAAAGAAAAAGAAAGATATGAGGCATATCAGGAATT